AGAGAAACCGAGAGCTTGCTCATACCCTTAGCGCGCGCGAGTGTGACCCGAGGAGGAGGAGAGCTCGTGTTCAGCTTGGTCCAGCAGGATTCTCTCGAGCCTTATGATCATCCAAGTATTTGTTGGATTTTTATGAGTCCTCCAGAGTTCATTCCTTCAGCCATATTAGCTCCAAGCCGAGCCTAAGGACCATTCACCGCGGGTGAGCCCTAGAAGGCCATTCTTGCACCAATTCGTGTTCGAGCAAGGTAAGCTCCTACCTATCATTTTTCCGAGCTTATTCATGATAAAATAGGAATTATCATGTTGAAAAATGATGCCATGCATGTTCATATGAGGGAGTTCCGAATTTTTGAACATATGAGCCCTAATTTCGTAAGTTTATGTACATGCATGATATGGCCGAGTTTGATGGCTTAAAAATCCTCAAAAATCATGAGTATGACATGGTTAAAAGATTAGCATGCTTTGAGTTCATTTTTTTCAGTCAATTGGTTAAGTAAAATCGAGCCATTTTCACCTCCGAACCCAAGTCTATATGCATGCATGTTATAGCCAATGTCCTAGCCTCAATAGCATTGATTTTTGATGTAGATTATTCGGCCCTAAGTCAATTTGCATATTAAGAATGTTCATTTTGGTGACCTAGTGTGGCCTCGTGCCTAATCGGCCCTATAAGCCCATCTTCAAATCCAATCGAGGTCCCTCAGTGGCTTTTGACATTTTTGAGTGTATTATGTCATTTTATGTTGGGTTGGTTCAGTAGTCACCGGAAAAGTTGTCGGAAGTTCGACAAAGGACCGGCTAGGGTCACCAGGCGTGCCAGTCGCGCGTGCCGTGCCAGTGTGATGAAGGATCGTGTGTTTTCCCAACTCGTTTGTCTCGAACTAAGCTTTGCCACGGCTTATCCTTCGACGATAGGTGTGGATGACTCGGTTATTAGCCTTATCTTCTCACGATTTTGAGATGGTTCGGGTCTTAGCCTAGCCAACTCGATTGTATGATAAAACTCTCACGAATTCTAAACACACGGTTTTGTTCTCACGAACGATTTTCCATTACTTTTCCATCCTAAATTTCGAATGACATATGTGGGTATTTATAGATACCAAATAGATCTAATCCTAGTTTAAGAAGAACTCTTAATGAAAGTAAACAAATAAAGTCCTAAGAAAAGTAAATAAAGACTTACCAAACTAACAAACTCCTAATAGGATACTAATAGGCTCATGCCTTTTATTTGAACTTCTAACCAAATCAAAACTCCTAATTAAGCTAAGTAAATCACGTCCTAATTCTCTTGCTTGCTCCTCAAGTCATCGCGCGCCCCAAACCCTAGCCGTCCGTGTTGCGCACCGCCTTGCTAGTCCTAGTCCTCCTTGTGCGCGGTAACGCGCGCGCACGTCTTCCACGCGTCACCATCCATGCGCGCTGCGCGCCCTCGCCCAATTGCCCGTGCGTGCTTGCCCACCGCGCGACGTCCGCTCGTTTGGCCTCACTCTCTCGCTCGCTCAGCGCATCGGACGCGTCCCAGCCACGCGCGCGTGCGCTGCGCTCGCTCGCCTCGTCGACCGACTCTACTAGCGCCCCGCGCGTCGAGCCCCACTCGCCCTCGCGCCATTTCGCGCCTGTTCCCACTCGTGCGCCTACCTCATTGTAGCCGCTCCATGTGCACGCTAGCCACCTTACATCCTCCCCTCGTGCACCTTTTGCTTTAGTCGTCATGCGTTGCTTGCGCCGATCTCTCGCGCATGCTCTACACCATTCGCCCACTTTCTCCGGCACGATCTTCTCACTTTCATCGTCGGCCCAAGTCTCATGTTCATAGCCTCTTCGAACTCTCTTAGCGCGCTTTTTCCCATGGCTCATGCGCCTCTCGTCCTCGGGCTCGGATGGGTCGATGACCACATCCTCATCACCGTGCCGCGTCGCAGAGGCCAGGCAGTGCCTCTGTCCGTGCCTGCACCTAGCGCTCGCGAGGCACAGCAGCCCCCAGCGCACGCGACAGCGCCCAGCAGCGCTTGTCCGTGCCAGCCAGCGAGGTCTCAGCGCCAGTCGCGCCAGAGCACCACTGACAGCGCCCGGTAGCATTGTCCCAGCGTAAGTGCATGCGTGACCTCGAGCCAGTCACTCGTGCCACGCGGAGTCGACCTCGGGTCGTGCCAGCAGCGCACCCGAGTGTTCAGTACAGTGCCTTATTGAACCCGAGCCATGTTCAGAGGCCTCGGGACGTGCCCAGCCGCACGCCCGAGCAATCAGTTAGCCCGGGACGTGCCCAGCAGCACGCCCGCGTGCCTAGGATCGCCCGACAGCACCCTAACAGCCTTAGCCGCGCCCGAGCCGCGCGAGTAGTGTCTAGCCGTGTCAGTCCTTGCGCCAGTTGCACTTGGGTCGTGCCAGTCGCACGCCCAGTCCAGTCAGCCCGGGTACGCGTTAGTCCCGCGTCCCTCGTGTTCAGTCGTGCCCAGCAGCGCGTCAACACTCCTAGTGACTCTCAGTCGTGCCCAGCAGCACCTTGTGGCACCAGTCGTGCCAGGGCCCGTGGCAGCCGCACAGCCCGCTGTAACGCCCCACTTTTATTTGCCGAAAATTAGAATAAATTTTTCAAAATTTATTACAAGCATTTGTGGCATTACTCATTTATTTCGAATCATTACCATAACATAAATCATCTAACTCCCAAAACAGGATTCATAAATCCATAAATTCTCAATTCGCCCAAAACGGGTTCCCAAAATAAATCTCAAGTTTAAAGACATGACAATGTCAACGGGGCATTTCCCCAATAGTATCTCAATACTCCATAAATTCTCAAAGTTCGGAAATGCATAAATCATAAATAGTATTAAATATAGCGGAAGCAAAATCAATTAATAACTAATCTCATAGACCGACCACCACTCGCTCTACTCCACCGTCGTACCTGCCTCGCTTAACCTGAAACGTCAATTTCAGGTGAGCTCTACATTATGCAGTAAACGCTATTCACAATAATGAAACAGTAATCAATGATCAATAAGGTATGGTCTCAGTAGCTCTACATTATGCAGTAAACGCTATTCACAATAATGAAACAGTAATCAATGATCAATAAGGTATGGTCTCAGCATTTATACGAATCAATTAATTATCTCAATCTCCTATCATTCATATCAATAATAGACTCATGTGCACACCTATACCAATAGACTACTACCGGTAGATGTATCGAAGGCCCTCGCTCGGGTCATGCTTCGAATGCCCCATGGGCTCTACATCTATGTCCTCCGGTCCTACACACGGAATCGCCCCACGGGCTTCCATCGATGCCCGGTCAGTAGGAGTAACCCGCCGGCCAAGGCCTCACCTTGGTCTTACCAACGGGGTTGTCCAGCACAGGGACCTTTAACCCTGGTCTTACAGCTCACAAAGGAGACTACCCAACGGATACGTTCTATAGCTACGGGGATAACCGTTCGACGGCCGGTACAACTCACATCGAAGGCTACATGGTTCCACATGCATACTTTGATCATACCATAATTGAAACAGTAATCACATTTAAGGCATAGCAATTTCTCGAATTAAACCCATCTGGTACTGCAGAGGATGATGGTGAACACACGCTCAAACAAGGACGAGAGCTCGACTCCTCTTAATCTACAAATTTGGGTTTGATTATTATTACGAGCTTGATTGAGGTTGATTACCAAACAGATAAAACACACAAAGAATTCTCTATAAACTGTAAGGCTAGAAAATTTATTTCTAACCACAAGGTGAAACGTCAGGAAAAATAATTAACAAACATAATTAAGGGCTCATAAATACACAATAGAAGTAGTAAAATAGGCAATTAAACACAATGAACATAATACAAGCATATAGCTTATTTACATGCTCCTACAGCATGATACATGGCCTCATAAGCACATTTATCAAAATTAATTCATTTACGAAACTGAAATCTAAGCATACACATGCAACTAAATTCAAATAAATTGCAACATGTCATAAACTCGCAATTCACAAATAAATTAGACAATTCATCTAAAAAAAACCCCCCAAAGTTGAAATCAAATAGTCAAATAACTTCATCCTCCCTTAATTATTAACAAATTAAAACTCAAAGAAATATTCAGCAAATACACAACAACAAGGTACCAATTTTTAACATACAAACTATGCCCCTTTTTTTTTCTTTTTTTTTTTCTTTTCTACCAACACATGAATAAGCCAACAAAACTTAACAATGTTCTGACTTTTAGCATGAAAACAGCCACTTAAAACATGAAGAACCTTCAGCAAATAAAAAGCAATACTCGGCTAAATCAAATAATTCGCATCAGCAATAATTTGAGGCCAAACATACAACAATATACAAGCATTACTGTAAGCTTCCCATTCCCTTCTCTTTTCTCATTAATTTTCTCAACTTCAAGAATGTTTCAAAACAGTGTTATAAGCTATGAAATGTTCCCAAATACTCAGCATGCTAATCAACAAAAGAACTCAACAAAACAAACATCACATAAAAGGTTAAAACAAAATGTACATGCCTTTTTTTTTTTAACCAAATTCTAATATGCTAATAAGGCTGAAAACGTGCTTTGAAAATAACCATGATCAGCATATATCACATCCACAAGCTTTAACAAAGATCACAACAATAGGTCAAACAAACACACCAAATTTCATTCTTAATTTTCAATATATGAACTCGTAAGGTTAAAACTCAAAATCCACAAGATCCGGATTTCACAAAGAAAAGGGGATTTGGCGAAAATCACCTCTTGTCTGGAAACTATATGCAACAAAAGAGGGACCCGGGAGGCCTCGGCCACGGCTTGTCTCGGATGAATGCCCCTTGCTCCCGGTGGTCTCAACCGCCGATGCGAGGCCTCGACGGCTGCCGCTACTCTCGTACGGGGTCCAAAAGGGCTGTCGCTATTCTCGCACGAGGCTCGAAAGGGCTGCCGCTGCTGTTCAGGCCCTAACCGAAGGCCGACGGGGTGCCGCCGCTATGCTCCAAGGTCGCCGGGCTGAGAGCGGCTTATAGCTAGCCACGCGCGGCTTCTGTAAAAATAAAATCGAATAGAGATGCTTCTCCGGTGGCGATGGAGGCTGCTCGATGATGACCGGCGAATTCCCCTCTCCGACAGGACGCGAAGGGAACGGAAACTGCTGTGTTCGCACGGCTGAGGAAAAATCGTCGGAACTTGTTGCTCCTCGGCCTGGGTCGGCAATGGTGAAGAAAGACGAGACCCGCTGCTCGAAATCTCCCACCGGTACTGAATAAGAGGGCCGCTACTGCTCGTTGGAAGGAAAAAGGATGGTCGCCAGCTTGAAATGACGACGGCGCTGCTGACGTGAAGGGACGACTGTTGCGGACGAAGACCGGCGGTGAAGGAACCGTCGCGTGGGGGAACTGCCGACACTGGATGGGTAAATTCTCGACGTGAACAGACACATCTCCGCTGGGTTTCTCGGCGAATAAGGGCTGATCGGTCGGGATTTGATGTGGCTATCGGACTGAGGCCGCACCTCCAGCGATGGCGGAGTGCTTCCCGTTGATGGCGACGGCCGACCTCGCTGAAGTCGCCGGCTGAAACTTCACAATCTGGGTTGTTCACTGAAAAGGAAACCGACCGCTTGCTCAGGGAGGAAAAAGGGAATGGCCTCTGCTGCTCGAAGGTGGGCTCGCCGGACAAAAATGGCGACAGAAATTCAGGCGGCGCTTAGCGAAACAGAGCAGAGGGGGATCGCGAAATCGAACTAGCGAATTTGATGTGAAGGGGAGTCTCTCTCTCGGCCGAGATTTAAGAGATGATTGCGAGAGATTATCGAGTGAATGGGCGAGAAAATTTTCGCAGAAATATCGCAACGAGTTCTGAATCTGGGACTTGGTCGTGCAATTGCGAGGAGGAGATAATGCAGCTCAATCTTTGCTCAATTTGGGCCACCAACTAATATCCTTTGGGCCAAGGGATTTGCAAAGGTATTGGATCATCTTTAATCTTACAATGGGCTAATGAAATTTACATAGCAATTGGGTTGGGCTCACGGGTTTACACGAAAGCGAAGACTGAGCTCGATAAATTAAATCGGATAAAAAAAAATATATATATATATATATTTATAATACACACAATTTAAATTTTAGAAATAATAATATTAATAAAAATACAAATATACATTTTAATTAAACAATAATAACATTTAAGCATTTAATTACAATTTGGAAATTACATCATATTTAGACAATTTGACATTTAATCGCAATTTAACAGATAAATCATATAGACATTCAATCAATAATAATAACAACAACAATTAAAGGCAAATATAATAATAAAATTAAATAATAAATAATTCACAAATATTCAATAATCAAACGGGGCATTACACCCGCGCCCAGCAGCGCCTAATACCGAGGCCCGGTCGCACCCAACTCGTGCCCAGCGTCGTGCCATGGCCCCAGCAGGCCCGGCACGGGAACGAGCCCGGCCATTCCGAGCAGCCCGTGGCCACCCGGTCCAGCGTGAACCGGTGGTCCAACCCGGTCCAGTCCAGCCCGACCCGATTCAGCTAGGCGAAGCCAAGCGAGCTAGTTTCAAAGCTTAAATATATGTATAAGACTAGCGATAGTACGATAAGCCTTGATAAGATTCTAAGACAAGTCCCAACGAATGTAGGTAATTGAGGAGTCCAGCCTCGACCTATGCCCTTTGCTTGTCAAGTTATTTCAATCCGGAAATCCAGGTGGGTTGTTATTCTAAAATTGGCTATGTCGTAAATGTTACATATGAATGTTAATTATTTTTGGTATGATCAAGTATGCATGTGAACTATATAGCCTTCGATGTGAGTTGTACCGGCCGTCGAACGGTTATCCCCGTAGCTATAGAACGTACCCGTTGGGTAATCTCCTTTGAGAAATTACTCCTACTGGCTTGGGCACCGATAGAAGCCCGAGGGGCATTCGGTATTTTACCCCGCAGTAGTCTATGCGTAGGTGTGTACATGAGTCTTGATTTTATGACGATCTTATGAAGATATTATGACGATCTTATGACGATATTATGATGACAGGAGATTGGAATATTAAATTGATTCTTATTCATGCTAGGATCATACTGTTGATTTGTTTGATTAATGTTTACTGCATAGTGGTGAGCACTACTTTTTCCTACTGTGCTCATCCCCACCTGAAATTACGTTTCAGGTTAAGCGAGGCAGGCACAATGGCGGAGTGGAGCGACTGGTGGTCGGTCTATATGACCGGTCTTATTATTTGTTAAGCTTCCGCATTTATGAATTCTGGATTTTATGACTATGAACTTGGAGTATTATTGCATTTATGAATATTTGATTTTATGACTTGAATAATGTTAAGGAGATGCTTCTAGAATTTATGAATATTATTGAAACTCGGTTTGGGTGATTTATGAATTTTGGAAAACCCGTTTTGTGAGTTGGTAATAATGTTGATGATTGAGTTTGATGTTTGAATGAGTGTCGAGAATTTGGTTAAGTATGGAAGTTCGTTTTGAAAGTGAGTAGCGCCTCAGGTGTTACTGTAACGCCCCACTTTATTTTAAAGGATTTATCAAATTTATTTAATAACAAAAAAAAAATCACAATATATTTTTCGCAAAGTTTAATTTAATTAAAAACTCAGTAGGCGCTACTCAAATTTACCAAAAGCTTTTATCCAAAAATGCAAACACATCACATAAAGACAGCATGCGCGAATAATAAATCATAAACCAATCTAGCATTCATTAAGTTCCAAATCATTAAAGATAATTCATAATTCCCAAGTTCAAAACGACACAGTCATAATATCTCAACATAAATGAGCGGAAGCAAGTAAATAAGCGATAAATAAAAGCATGACCACCACCCGTCTTGTCTCGTCACCCGCCGACTGCTTAACCTGCATCAGTTACGAGCAGGTGGGAGTGAGTACAGTTAACTATCGTACTCACACTATGCATATGAATAACTCAGAATATGTTAATATGGTATGGTCGCAGCATGAACATAAACACTAATAAATAATGTCTCATCTCTAGTCATGTCGATGACCCTTGTCATCGCTATGGCTCACTCATGTGCACATCTACGCTCAGCCGTACCTTATCTATAATACGGGAGTGCGTGCCACGTAAGGACACGGCCTTATCTAAGGACTTAAGGAGATTTACCTCATAAGGGTAACCATATCTACGGGGACAACCGTACCGATGGCTATCGATAGGCTACATGCTCACACACATACTTAGATCATACCGGTTTAACACATTCAAACAAATAAACACATATGCACAGGTAATTTTAGAATAACAACCCACCTGGATTTCCGGGTTTAAAACTGGACAGGCAATGGGTGTAGGTCGAGGCTCGACTCCTCAATTACCTACATTGAGTCAAGATGCTACAATCAACATCTATCTTGACCTTAAATGGAAAACATAAAACAGACCTAGTCGAACTTGTTTCGACTAAATAGTTCGTGAAGTCCAGTGGACGTTGGAACACTAAGACTCGATACTAAACTCGACCAACAAACATATGAGAGATCAAATAATTCCATCTAATGATAGACCAAGTGAAACTCACAACAAAACGAAAAGCATGTAAATCACAGATTCAACTTCAAAATCTTAGTTTAGAAATTTCTAGCTATTAATCACATGAAATTCATGACCAGACTGCCCTACAACTTATGCCTTGAAATTTTAACCAAAATTACATCTCCCAGTAATTAGTAAAACCACCAAATTTCAGCTTCAAACTCAAAGCACATAAATTTATAAAATTCCTACAAGAATTCAGCAAAAACGCACATGAATTTATATCTGAACCTACTGAATGAATCAGGACTTGAAAATTTAACATAACATCGTACATTAGGCTAGAGTCAATGTGTAAAAATATCAGCCCTTAACATTAACTGCTACTAATTTTAAAAATTCATAAGAGTTTCAACTCTTTATCAAATTTAAATCAAAATCGAATCAAAATGGATTCCGAAAATTCCCATCTTTTAAAAGCATGATTCCACACATAAAATAGGCATCTCAGTAAAATTTCAGAATTTTTCACAAAACAACCAATTTATAAAAATTCAAACAACTCTCAGCATATTCGATAAATAAATTATTAACCACATCAAATCAAGTCCAAAAATTCTGAACATTTAACAGGACATATAAAATTCACCGAGGCATGACATATTCAAATCTTAGCTCATTTGATTCACGAATGAATTTATTATGCATTTAACACTATTCTGATCAGATTTCCTTATAATTATTAAAAATATCTACAGGCCTCTAAAAATTACGAATTTTTACACACGGCTGGAAATGGACAGATAACATATCCCTCAAAATTTCAAGTCATTCCGAGCAGTGTGCGAGTTTTAAAAATTCAAATACCAAAACAGCGACATATATGCTCGGCAACTTAGCAATTAATTCATAACATGAAAATTCTCGTCCGAGGCCTTCTCGTAAGACCAAGGACTCGACTTGTTCCAATATCCACCGACTTACACGACTTTCGGGGTCTCGTTCAATTTCTTATAATTGAAGAGATCCGAACAACATGAACGACACATAAAATCACGATTTTTTTCACATATACCAAATCGAACACATATATAAAATCGCAATAGCACATCACGATAATAAAGCACATAACGAAATCAATTATATATATGATTTAAAAGAGACGGGATTTCGCCTATGTACCGTCCTCGGGAAAACTCGGAAAACAGAACGAAAGACGAACGGGGATGGCGGGCTCGACGGATTCTCGCGTCTTGCCGGAAAAAGGGGTGCAGCAGTGGCTGTTCTCGGCTGCTCGGTTGCTGCGGCGCTCGATGCTTGAGACGGGGAGCAGCAGACGGCGAAGGAAGGCTTGCCGGAGGTTGCTCGCTGTTGGAGTCGCCGGAGGAGGACAACGGCGGAGGAGGGTTGTCGCTGAGGTGCTGCTGATCAGACAGGGGTTGTTGACGGCGCGACGGGCTGCTGCGATGGCGTCGCGGCGCGGGAAGAGCAGGTTGCCGGAATGGATCACGACAGCGGAGGTTCTCGTCGTCTGGGCTCGTGGACTGATCAAACTCGCCGGAAAAGTCACCAACTAGGGTCGCCGGAGGTGCTGCTATGCGTGGGCGATGATGGTGACGGTCTGCTCTGAACGAAATTCCGCAGGGACGATGACTGGGATGATCGGACGATGCAAAGACGACGAGGATGGCGATGTGATGGTGTAATGCCCCGTTTATTTGTGGATTATTTGGGATATATATATTATTATTATTTTTAATGTTATTATTATTATTATTATTTTTATTGTTATTATTATTATTATCGTTATTTTTGTTATAATATTTATATTTATTTTTCTGGAATGCCATAATATTTATTAATTGTCAAACGTGATTAAATGCTAAATGTGTAATTGTCTAATTGATTTTTGTGATATATTTAATTATTAATGTGTATTTAAAAATATGAAAAATATATATATTGTTCGGTTTATTTTATCGCGTGTTTACATTTATATCGAGCCCGAGAACTTTCATTGGAACCGAAATTGGCCCGAAAATGTCCGTTTAAATTTTTAATCGAGCCCGTGAGCCGATTTGATGTCCCAAAAACCGGCCCAAAGCTCATGAAACCCGGCCCAACAGCTTTCAAAACCGGCCCAAGGGCTCAAATTCCGGTCATCTCATTTATGCTGANGCGAAGAAAAAAAAAAACGAACGATCGTTCGTCCTTCATCTCGCCATCATATTCTCGCTGTGATTTTTCCGTCATCCTCCATCACATCACCTTCATCTTCATCGTTCATCATCTCGTTCCCATCACTGAGATCGTTCGCCTCTCGTCGCTCATCCGATCATCTCCTTCATCACCATCTCCGTCGCCCTGTTCGCGTGAACCTGTGGCGAGTCCTTTTTTCGGCGACCCCGAACCAGTCCGGCGAGCTCGACTATCCTCCGAGCAGCGACGTCTTGTGACCTTCCCGACGAGCTCGTGAACCAGCAGCGAGCTCTTCCCCGTGCACATCGAGCCCTTCTCTTTCGTGAGACGAGTTTACCGTCGAGCCCGTTCGATCCCATTCTCGCTCGATTCCGAGAACGGTACCTCATCGTTTTTCCGTCTCGTTTTATTCGTATGTGATTTATTTCTTTGAGTGTTCATTTTCGTGAAGTGCTCGTGATATATATGTGTGAATTTATTGATGTGTATATGTGCGATTATATGTATTGTTGCGATTTTATGTGTTCGTATGTTCGGGATCTCTTCGATTTTCTCAAAAATCGAACGAGACCTCGAAAGTCATGTAAGTCGGTGGATATTGGAACAATGTCGAGTCCTTGGTCTTATGAAAAGGCCTCGGACGAGAAATTTTATGTTGTGAATTAATTGCTAAGTTGTCGAACTTTTTAATCGCTGTTTCGGTATTTGAATTTTTAAAAATAGCTCGCTGCTC